CCTGGACCTGGACGGCGACTACACCTGCAAGTGTTCTTCTCCGTTCTTGGGGAACACCTGCCATGTCCGTAAGTCCTGGTACCAACTGTACAGAAGTCCGTTTCCTTCCTGTTCCCCACTGCCCTGTGCCTCATTGCCAGCATGCCCAGGAGAGGGGTCACCAGTTGGTTTAGGAGATCTGGAGGGCAGCCATGGGTGCCTGTGTGCTGGCTGCCCTTGCTGCCAGCAAGCATGGTCCTGATGGAGCGAGCATCCTTGGGAAGATCACATCTCCTCTCTAGGCGGTCCCCAGAGCAGCCCTTCCCCCCCAGACCTCCTGCTGTGAGCGGGGCTGATGGACAGTGTGGTTTTGGCTGAAGGCTGGGGGGAACACCTGAGGGACAGGCAGGTCCTGGTGCTGGCCTCCATCTCTTGCCCTGTCGCCAGACAAGAGGCAAATGACACTCTGGTTTTGCTCCGTGGTCACTCTCTTTGGTGCTGATGTCCCCACTGCCCCCAGGCTGTGCCGTTCTCCTGGGCATGGAAGGAGGAGCCATCTCTGACGCCCAGCTCTCTGCATCTTCTGTCTACTATGGCTTCCCAGCGCTGGGGGCCAGAGCTCGCCCGCCTCAACAACCATGGCATCGTCAATGCCTGGACCTCCAGCAACTATGACAAGAGCCCCTGGATCCAGGTACCCACGGCACGGCTGGGAGCACTGGTGTAGAGGGCAGCCCTGGTAGCCGTGGCTGGTCTTGCTGGGCTGCTTTCATGGGATTTGTGTGCTTCTGGTGGCAACAGCAGGGTTAAATTGCTGCAGCAAAGTGCCACCCAGGGGCATCTTGTGACCTGGAGAAGGCAAGGTCCCTGTAGGGTGAGATGAGGACCTGGGATGGCAATCCCCCCCTTCTCTGCCCACGCTCGGAAGTAAGGCTGGCGGGATGGAGGACTTTTCGTCCCAACGAAGTCACAGCACTCTGGACAGCCCCTTCCCTGGTCCTGATGCTGAGCCTGAGCCCACCCTCCCAGCCAGGCTCGGCGGCACTGGTGGGCGCAGGAGCTGCGCACCCCGTCCCCACTCCCGCTCTCCTCTCCCTGCCAGGCCAACCTGCTGCGGAAGATGCGGCTGACGGGCGTCATCACGCAGGGCGCTCGCCGCGTGGGCCAGGCAGAGTACGTCCGTGCCTACAAAGTTGCCTACAGCCTGGACGGGCGAGAGTTCACCTTCTGCAAGGACGAGAAGCAGGATGCAGACAAGGTGGGCTGCGACGTTCTGTGCGGGGGCTGTGCTGCCTCCCCGCCACCCGGCGGTGCTGCGGGTGCTGGGGTGGCTGTGAGCTGCATTCCAAACTGTCCCCATGTTTGGGAAAGTGCTTTTGACCTGGGTCAAAGCCACGTTGGGAGCCATCCTAGCAGCAAGACGGCACAGGCAGTTCCAGCACCAGGCAGTGCTCTCTGGCTCTGTTTAATTGACCATAATAAGCATAACCAAAGAAGTTATTTAGGTCATTCAGATAATATCTTTATCGCTGAAACACTGTGGGAACCGGGCATGGCTGGAAGTCCTAGTGAACGGCTTATGCAGCTCAGTGCTGTGTTTGCACCAAGCATGAGCCGACCAGTGGGTCTCACTCTCAAAGCAGGAATACTCATTGATTGCAGCGCTCTCCACCCTCAGTTTTTTACAGCAAGTATCTCCTGGGGTTTTTTTGAGCATCCAGGGAATGGCTGGGAGTTTCTGCCTTGCTTTAAAAAAAAGTTAAATTTCTCTTGTTTCTGCAGCAGTGGAAAAATGCATGAAAACATGAGCTGACTCTATTTATTGTGTTAAAAAAGAAGTGAGCCACCTCTCTGCTTGTCACGGTTTGAGGAGTGCTGCCGTAGCACGAGGGAGTGGGTGTTGCTGCATGTGCGGCTCTGTGGGGCGAGGACGGAGCAGGGAATATTGCAAAGCTCTGCTGAGAGTGCTGGAGCTGCTGCAAGGCCATGCACTGCTCCAGAGCCCGAAAGCAGAGCCCGGCTTCCCCTGCTCTTGCTGTTGGCATTGCCGAGATCTGTCCGTCTGATGGATGAGGGGTTTAATGCACAAGGCTGCGGGAGGGCTGGGGCACTCAGCCCTGCTCGCCGTTGCAGGTTTTCCAGGGGAACATGGACTACGGCACCATGCAGACCAACATGTTCAACCCTCCCATCACGGCCCAGTTCATCCGCATCTACCCCGTGATGTGCCGCCGCGCCTGCACGCTGCGCTTTGAACTTATCGGCTGCGAGATGAATGGTAAATGTCAGTGGCTTTCCCCTCCCCAGGGACCGCAGGGCAGGGGGTGACATGGGGCACGGCATCGCCCCTTGTGCTGGTTCTCATGCCCTGGGACAGGGGATTTGTCAGCGCTTGTTTTTCCTCACATCAGCTACGTGATGCCTGGAAATACCCACGGGTTCTTTTGGGAAGCACAAGCCGTTAATCCCACCAGCTCAGCTGGGCCTGTGCTGCGTTCTCACACTGCTAGCATCTTCCCAAGCCGGGGGTCTTTATTGTGCCCTCTCCCCGTCCGAGCTGTGAACCAGCTGCTTTTCATGCTGGAGAGCTTGAAATTCAAATGACCGGAGGATCAAAGTCCTCTGGGAAACGTGAGGGATGATTAGCTGGAGCCCTTTCCCTGTGCCTCCTGCATT